CAAGAGGGCGTCATTCTCCTTGGCCACAGAGAGTAAAACTAACACTAATGGGAACAGGCAGTAGACAAGCAGATTTGGGATTTGGAGAAGGACAAGCTTCCTAACCACGAGGGCTGCCCTGAAGCCGACTGGGTGGCTTTACAATGCTCTCCCTCACTGAAGGCGCAGTAACACACTGGATAGGTGCTGACGTCGCTTCTAACATTCTCTGAGTCTGTGGGAAAGAGTGAAGTGCAGACTCACGGAACGTTAGAGCTGGAAGAGGCCTTAAAGGTCAGAAGATGCACTTCAGCCAGGGCCAGAGCAAGCTGAACTGTTTAAATTGGCGGTGTAAACATTTACACCTCAGAAATCAGCAAATGTGGCAAATCAGGGCTTGATTTATTTTTTGGCTGATTCTCTGTACATGTAGTGTTCATACTGCAGATTAAAGTGAAAAGCGTGTCACGGTATACTCTTTTTTTTGAGAGCTGGTTGTTAAACATTCTATGAGCACACCAGGATTTCAGACCAGACCAGGAAAAGCAATGGCTATTTCTCTGAATTATCATTAGATTTGGAGTTTGAGGACCTGGCGCACAAATGTGCTCTGCTACTGACTGACTACGATCTTGGACTTATTTTCTTTCTTTGTTTTTGGTAAGGCAGCTGAGGTTAAATGACTTGCCCAGGGTCACACAGCTAATAAGTGTCAAGTGTCTGAGGTCACATTTGAACTTGGGTCCTCCTGACTCCAAGGCTGGAGCTCAATCCACTGTGCCAGCTAGCTGCCCTGACTTATTCTCTCTAAATCTCAGTTTCCCTACCTATAAAATAAGGAGTTGGACTAAACCATCTCTCTAAGGTCTTTCCAGCCACTAATCTATATGAGCATTATGACCTTCATGAGGTTTTACTGAACTGTGTGATCTATGGAGTCACTCACTTAACATTTATTGAGCACCTACTATATACAGAGCTCTGTAGGTCCGAGGGCTGTTACTGTCAGGCTAATGAATCTGGGCTTTATCTGTGGGAGAATAAGGGGCTGTTTTTGAACAGGCAGATGGAATCAGATTAATTGATATAAGATGGATTGGAAACATGGGGGAGGGATGAGGGAGGAAACCAGACTGTAATTGGATATTCTCATGGCATAGGAGACAGTGTACTGTAATGGAAAGAGCACAGCACTTGAAGTCAGGGAAGCTGGGTTCAAAACCTGCTTTTGCTACTACCTAGCTATATGATCTTGGGCAAGTCACTCGACTAACTCAACTTCCTTCTCTGTAAAATGGGAAGGCTGGCCTGAGTGATACCTAAAAGCTCTCAACTTTGTGATCCTTTGATGGGTGGAGAGGGAGGATAAGTCAGGTGAGCAACCCCCTCTATTTAAAATGTAAATAAACAGAGCTCTTGGGCTTTGGAGGGAGCTAGAAGGGCCTTTGAAGATTCGGGCTGAGTTTTGTTTCCCTGGATATGACGTGAAATCTTGGGGGATAGGGACTGTCTTCCCCTCAGCCTCAGCACTTACAAATCCTTCATTTTATAGATAAGGAACACCAGGCCCAGGGAGGTTAAGCAAATCATCCTAGGTCACACAGCCTGTTAAGACTGAAGCCCAGGCCTTTCGCCCTGGAAGGCGGGTCTCTTTCCGCAGCCCCCTGCCACGGAGTTGGCCCTGGATAGAAGTGGGCACGTCTGGAAGTGTCTCCACTGTGCCTGTTGCCAAAAGGATGAGGGGGAAGGGATTGTTTTACTCTCCTACAAGGTGGCACCAGGGCCCACGGTCGGCAGTGGGAAGGGGAAGTCAGGCGGCAGTCAGCTAGAGAAACAAGCCAGGTAATTACCCAGCTTGAGTCCAAGCCCAGCGGCGGCGGCTGCCAGTTAATCATGGGCAGTTATATGGAAAAACAGACTGTGGGGTGGAAAGAAAGGCTGGGAGAGGAGAAGTGTGTAGGTTTGGCTCTCGACCATATCTGAGGCCACTTCATCCAAATGGTTTATGTGGGGCCGGAGGAGAGGCAGGGCCAAGAGTCGTTTTGCAGATGAAAAAGCCGAGACCCAAAGCATGGGAGGGTTGACTTGGCCACAGTGAGTTAGTCAGTGAGCCAGGAAAGAATCCAGGACTCCCGGCCTCCCAGTTCAGGCCCCAAAGACTGGTCTTTAGCATCCCAGATACATTTTGTAGTAGACCTGTAGTAGGGCCTGCCTCTGGGGAGGCAGCTCTTGGGAGGAAATTCCTTCTAGCAACTAGCAACTTAGTCTAAAGAAAGTGAGATGTGATAGAGAGAACCACTGGACCTGCAGTCAGAAAGAACTGGATTCAAATCCCACCTATGACTCATTATGTTTATGATGGTAAGCAAGTCCCTCAGTCTCCCTGGGACTCAGTTTCCACATTTGTAAAATGAGGGGGTTGACAATACTAACTTATATCCCCAAATAGGTCAAAAGGAAAGGATCCCAGAGGTAGAAAAATACTGCTAGCAGCTTCTTGACCTGGGAGACCTAGGAGTGGGACAAAGCCAATCCCAAGCATGGGAGGGACCAATAGGGGAGAGGAAGGCAACGTCAGGAGAGAGGATGGAGAGCAGGGTGGCTTGTCTGAGACTTAGGACGTAACTCAACCAATCAGCAAGCGTTTATTAAATGCTTTCTGTGTACTAGGCACTAGAAAGAGAAGTAACGTGAACCAAAATGGACAGATTGGGATGAAGACAGTACAAGGGAATGAATGCTGGAGGTGGGGTCAAATCCCACCTATGACTCATTATGTTTATGATGCTAAGCAAGTCCCTCAATCTCCCTGGGACTCAGTTTCCACATTTGTAAAATAAGGGGGTTGACAATACTAACTTATATCCCCAAATAGGTCAAAAGGAAAGGATCCCAGAGGTAGAAAAATACTTCTAGCAGCTTCTTGAAGGGGATGTCCATCCATTGGCTGAACAAATGATGGGAGATGAATGTCATGGAATATTATTGTGTTGTAAGAAACAGTGAAAGGGATGGATTCAGAGGAACCTGGTACGACTTGAAGGAAATGATGTAGAGTCAAGTGAGCAGAACCAGGAGAAAAACAGAGACATCAACATTGTAAAGACTTAAGAACTTTGCCCAGTTCAATGATCAATGATTCCGGAGATCTGATGACAAACTGTGTCACCCCCTCCTGACGGAGAAGTGGTGACTCAAGAGGCAGAAGGAGGCAAGCACTTCAGGGCATGGCCAAAGGGGAAATTCATCTTACTTCACTATCTATGTTTGTTATAAGGATGTTTTTCTTTCCCAACTGCAGGGTGGGGGAAGTGGAAAGAAGAGAAAATACATGCTTGTTAGTTTCAATTAAATTAAAAAGAGGATATTGGACTTCATGGTCTCTGAGGCTCTCTCCACACCTACATCTCTGATCCTGATTATGATTTAGAATCCTTATAAAGTTGCCTGGCTTTCTTAGAGGTTTAGGTGACTTGCCCAAGGTCACAGGACCAGTATTTGGCAGAGGATAGACTTCAACCCCAGTCTGTCTGCCTCTATGGCCAGCTCTCTATCCACAGGCCTTGCTTCTACAGCCCAAATACATCTGGGACCTTTTCCCATCCTTAGCTACCATCTTTCCTCGTCCTAAGTCATACCACATACAAACCCAGGGTCTCTGTCTTCTGCCATTTTTTTCAGGCTTCCTCTATCAAGCTTGTCCTCATATCCATCATTCATACTGAGCATGGTCTCAATCGTGGTCTAGGTCAGTGGCGTCAAACTCAAATAGAAACAAGATATTCATAAGGATCCCTATGGGTCATAGAGTGAGTTAGAAAACCACATACTAACAACATCTGTGTTCTATTGTATTTTCATTCATTTTGTTAAATATTTTCCAATTACATTTTAATCTGGTTCTGGCCACACTTTGGGGTGTTGCAGGCCATGTGTTTGACAATCCTGGTTTAGACCATGTCATTAACTTATTGTATGACCCTAGGCAAGTCACCTCATTGATCAAGGACTCGGTTTCCTTGAGCTCCAAAATGCTATCACTCCTTCATCTTGTCTCCTCTTGGGCTCCTTGTGGGTGGGAACTATGTCTTATACGTACTCTATGAATCTCTTGTAGCACCTATGACAAAGCTTTGCAGAGTGGGTGCTTAATAAATGCTCACTGAATGAGGGAAAAAATAAGAATCAGAGTCTACCAAAAGTTAATCTTTCATGATTTCCCACTGCCTACCAGGTAAATTCTAAACTATTGATTGTGGTCTTCAAAACCCTTAGCAATCTACCTCCTAGAACAATTTTACAACTGAAGAAAATGAAACTCATAGACATTAAATGATTTGCCCCTGTTGATAGATTTGACCCCACCTCCAGCATTCTTTCCCTTGTACTGTCTTCGTCCCAATCTGTCCATTTTGGTTCATGTTACTTCTCTTTCTAGCGCCTAGTACACAGAAAGCATTTAATAAATGCTTGCTGATTGGTTGAGTTACGTCCTAATTCTCAGCCAAGCCAGCCTGCTCTCCATCCTCCCTCCTCATGTTGCCTTCCTCTCCCCTATTGGTCCCTCCCATGCTTGGGATTGGCTTTGTCCCACTCCTAGATCTCCCAGGTCAAGTCCTTTCCTTCTTTCAGGACCTAACTCAGGTTCTTTCTCTTCTGTGAGATCTTCCCTGCCCCTCCACAGGGGAAGGTGACGTCTACTGCCCACCATTATTTTCTTGTAGTTCTTCCCCCAGGCTGCTCCTTTGTCCTTCTCTTCCTCTCCTTCTGTCAGAATCATCTGTATACAAGTCTTTACCCACCAGAGCTACCTCCTCAAGAGCCAAGTCTACGTCCTCTGCGCTTTGTACCTCAACAGCAACCAAGAGTCTTGTCAACAAACAGTGCTAAATAAGTTTCTTTTTTTAAAATTAAATGAATGCAACACAAAGAGTCACTGACGGAATGGTCCAGACAGTCCCAAAGCTGGAGAGTTGGCACCCTCCAGCTAGGAAGCCAGACACAGAGCCCAAAGCCCTTACCATGTTCATAACTGTCAACACGTAGTTCTCCACATGGTCCCAGCCATGGTACTCCACCATCTTGGTATCTGCCACCACCAGGGTCTCCACCCACTTCTCCTTGCTGATGGAGCGCTGCTGTAGCCGCCTTCTCCGCTGCTGCTGTTGCTTCTGCTCCCACCTTTCCCTTCTCTTCTCTGACTTCCCCTGGTTCTCAGGAGATTCTGGGGGGGGGGGGAAGACAGAGACAGAGAGAGATACCGAGAGAAAAAGAGAGAGAAAGACAGAGACACAGAGACAGAAAGAGAGACAGAGAGACAAAGAGAGACAGAGAGAAAGAGAGAGAGACAGAGAGAGATACAGAGAGAAAGAGAGAGAGACAGAGACAGAGAGACAAGAAAGACAGAGAGATACAGAGAGAAAGAAAAAGAGACAGAGAGAGAGACAGACAGACAGAGAGGGAGAGAGACAGAGAGAGATACAGCAAGACAGAGACAGAGAGACAGAGAGAGAGATACAGAGAGAAAGAAAAAGAGACAGAGAGACAGAAAGACAGAGAGACAGAGAGAGACACACAGAGAAAAAGAGAGAGAGAGAGAGAGAGAGAGAGAGAGAGAGAGAGAGAGAAAGACAGAGAGAGAGAGAGAGAGAGAGAGAGAGAGAGAGAGAGAGACAGAGAGAGAGAGAGAGAGGGAGAGAGGTCTGGTATTTCTTTTGGGAAGGAGGGAATGGAGCCTTTCATGGGAAGTCATTGCTCCTAAAAACCTGTTGGGGAATCTTCTGGTGATGAACTCCTGCACTCTTGGCTAGACCAGTTCTTGGCCAGCAGACAGTCCCTGGACCCACACCCACCAAAAAAACCTTTCCAGTTTGATAGAACTTTCTAGAACTCATGCTCCATTGGCACACGGATCACCTCCATGTTTTAAAATGTCCTCTCTTCCGGTCTTTTGTTTTAGTAACATCTCATTCTAACATGGCTCCTCAGAGAAAGGTGAATATGAAAAAGATCTATGAGGTGTGGGGAACTCTCAGTGTGGACCTTCTCTCCCTCAGCTGTCTAGGACTTAGCTAGACAGATAACCTTATATAACTTTGTAGAGAAGTACTAGGGAGTTGTTTGAATCATTTAGAAGTTAAATGACATGCCCAGAGTCACATGACTAGGAAATACATTTGGTGTTTGGTCATTTTTAGTTGTGTCTGACCCTTCACGACCCCACTTGGGGTTTTCTTGGCAAAGATACTGCAGGGGTTCGCCACTGCCTTCTCCAGCTCATTTTACAGGTGAGGAAATTAAGGCAAACAGGGTTAAGTGACTTGCCCAGGGTCACACAGTTAGTATGTGTCTGAGGGCAGATTTGAACCCATGAAGTTGAGTCGTCCTGACTCCAGGCCTGGCACTCTATCCACTGCATTCAATTTCCTCATCTGCAAAATGGGAATAATAATAGATCTCACAAGCACAAATGAGAAAATTTACATACAGCACTTAGCAAACTTCAGAGCACTACATAAATGTCAAGATGATTTAAGGCCTTGGGCACTTATTTACTGTGTAAGTACAGGCAAGTCCCTTAACCTCTCTGGGCCTCATCTTCCACATTCATAAAATGGGCATAATAACATATTTGAAGAAGCTCCTGGCAGGGTTATTGTGAAGATCAAATCAGATAATGCAGATAAAGTGCTTAACATGAACTGATATTATTTGAAACACATTCAGCCAGAATGTAAGAGCAAGCATGGTTTTAGATAGTAAGAAAAGTGACAGCTATAGTTGGGGGGCCTCAGCTGAGTGCCAGCTCTGTCCTTTCCTAGCTGTCTAACTATGGGCTAGGCAGCAGCCTCCGTAAGCCTCAGTTTCTTTCTCTGTGAAATGGAGATAAGAACATTTCTCTTTCCTCTCTCTCAAGGCTATTGTGAGTCTCCAAGGACCCAGTGGCTCTAAGGCATCTCAGCAACGGTGAGGTGATAATCCTGTATTAACTGTTGCTACTTCAAAGTCGGAATGCCTGTAATTTCTCCACAACCCAGCCGAGCCCATGGAGCAATTCCCGATAACAACATGACAGCCTTAAGTGGCCAAAGGATTATGAAGAGTTCTCCGAATGTGAGAAGACCAGACCTTTCTGGATAAAGGCCCCAGGCAAGGCTACTCCGGAAGGAAGTTGAGCGTGCACTCTGAGACCCATGAGGGCAAACTGAGCTTTCTAAGGTGGGGGAAGGAGTCTCCAGACAAACTCCCATTTCATTTTTCCTACAACAATCCTGGAAAGGAAGTATCACAAGCATTGTCATCCCCATTTTATAGATAAGGAAACTGAGGCTCAAAGACAGCAGCAGCAGGTGTCATCGATGTAATGTTTTAAACTCTAAAAAGTAAGTTCTATGAATTATCTCACTGAAGCCTGACAGCAATCCTGGGAGGTAAGCGTGATACCTCATTATACCCATTTTATAGATGAGGAAACTGAGGCTTAGAGGAGTTGTGCAAGGTTGCAAAGCTAGAAAAGGTCAGAGGTGCGATTTGAACCTGATTCTTCCTGACTCCAAGTCCAGCACAAAGAAGAGAAAAGAGCAAGTATACACATAGCGCCTACTACGTGCCAGGCATTGTGCTAAGCACATTACAAATATTATCTCCTTTGATCCTCTCAGTCTTGGGAGGTGGGTACTATTCTCCCCATTTTATAGTTGGAGAAACTGAGGCAGACAGAGGTTAAGTGACTGGCCCAGGGTTACAGAGCTAGTAAGTGTCTGAGGCCAGATTTGAACTCGGGTCTTCCTGACTATAGGCCTAGTGCTCTATGCCCTTTGCCACCGCTGAGCTGGTTCAAGTGCCTTGTCCAAGACCACAGAGCAGAAAAGCCCAGACTCACACCCAGATCTTCCAGTTCCCCATGAGTGTTTTTTTTTTTCCATGAGCTGCAGGGCTGCCTGCAGAGAATGCTGACAGAGAAGTATCAGGAGAGTTTCTGATACCTGCCCTCAGCCCAATCCCTCCTGCTCTCCTGTCTCCCCGGCAACCACTCTCCCAGCTGGGCCTGGCCCAGTGCCCTCTGCCTCGCCTCCTCCTTCCAGGAGACTCTCTGCAGCACAAGGGTCCCCCACCCGCTCTTACTAAGCTGTGATGACCTTAGGGGAGTTCTTGTCCAAATCCAAATCGCCCAGTTGAGGATTCGGTGCCACAGGCCAGGTGGCTTACTAAGGAAACCAGCTCCACAGCACCCTGGAGCCAGACACAACAATGGATGACCTGGTCCAATTGCTCCACTTCAGACACAGCAAAACTGAGGCCCCTACAAGGGTTTGCCCAAGATCCCCCAACTCACTGGGGCAGGACCCAGGAGGAGAAGTTGGGCCTCCTGACTCCCAGTCTGGCGCCCTTTCTTATAACACTAGAAATAGTGTGAGTTAGACTTGGAGTCAAAGGTCTTAGACCGTCAGCCCGGCTCTGCCACTGATGTTGTGAAACTTCTCTAGGCCTCGGTTTCCTCACCTATAAATGAAGGTGTTGGTCTAGGTGACTCAGTGGTCCCTTCCATCTCTGAATCTATGATTGGGGTGACGAGGCGGTACAGTGGATAGAGCTTAGAACTTGGAGTCAGGTGGACCTGAATTCAAATCCTGCCTCAGACTCTAGTGGCATGACCCTGGGTAAATCACTTAACCTTTCTGTGCCTCAGTTTCCTTATCTAAGATGGGGTTAATAATAGCACCTACCACCCAGGATTGTAGTGAAGATCTTTGCAAATATTAAAGTAGAATATAAAAGCTAGCTATTGATATTATAATTATCATTATTATCCTGTGATACTCTTGACAGCTGCATTACCCAGAATCACAGAAATGGAGACCCACAGAATTGGAAAGAACCTTAACTGCAGCCCTCTTGAGGACCAGAGATGGGATGCCAGTGTCTCGAGGGCACGCCAAGGGCTGGTGATCTCAGGACACCCCGGCCCAGGGCTCTTTCGCCCACACAGCACCGTCTTTCAGTGCTACTCCTCGGCCTAGCAAAGCTCTACCAACAGCCTGTAACAACCCTTGAGCACCTCGGGGCCTTGACTATCACTGCCACTCCCAAGTCTAAGACAGGCAGGCTGGGAGAAAGAGCATCTAGAGGCGGGAGAGAGGTGAAATGTGCGGAGCTCCTGAGCCGGGCATGACTGAATGAGGCGGCTGGCTCACACGCAGATGGGAAACTTGGCATCCATCTGGAAGCCATCAATTCCTTAATAAGGAAGGCAGCTTCTCTGTGGTCTCTCAGTCTTCCCCTTTGGCCAAACCAAATACAAGAGACAGCAGTCAGTGCCAGGAAGAAAAAGAGGGAAAGTCACTTCCATCGGTCAGTCAGGCAATTAACATTTATTAAGTGCCTACAATGTGCCAGGCTGTGGCAAGGGCGGAGAACACAAAGAAAGGTAAAAGGTAAAAGACAGTCTCTGCCCTTGGGAAGTCTCTATTTCCAGTGTCCTTCACGCTGCACTAAAGAAAAAAAAAGTACCTTTGATGCCACATGTGCCCAGGACCCTGGGGAGGGGGGTTCCCGCATGTGCCCAGGCTTCCTGGTGTTCTGGTATCTGTCGCTTGTAAACCACATGAGGCTGCGCCACCCCAGCGCTGGGCTTGATCCCCTCCAGTGGTTCAATGAAATAGTCTTCATTGGAGAGCTGGAACACACCTTTCTGGGACAGGGGCAGAACAGAGGAGGGGGACAAGAAAACATCATTGCTATGTGTCAATCACAACGCCCAACGGGAATAATCAGCTGACGGAGTGGAGCGCAGCTCCCCATCACCTATAAAATCCAGACCAAGACTTTCTTCCTAGCATTCAGGGCCTTCTCCAATGTGTTTAATCAACTCCTCCCACCTCACCTCCCATTTCCCCAGGTACCCTCAGCTCCACTCAAGCTTATCTCTTCCTTGTGCCCATCTTCATTCTTGCCTCCCTGCTGCTCCTCAGGCTGTTCTGGGGTCCCTGAACCTTCTCCCTGACTTTCCCCTTTGTCAAGTCCCAACACAAATTCCACCTCCTCCAGGAAGCCTTACCTGACTAATCCCTCCCTTCTCTAAGCATCTATAGGAAATTCACAATCTTTCCCAGGCTCTTGATTATCTTATATGTTGGCTTACATCTTGATATTCTTATATCATGGCTTCTGTACACCAAGTCTTATTTCCTCAGCTAGACTGTAAGCTCTCTGAGGGCAGGGACTCTGTGTTAAAGTTCTCCTAAACCTGTGACAGCCTGCATCACTTTGGATAGCAAGGCTAGCCCTGTAGAGAGAACCTGAAGAAGAACATTATAATAACTAGCATTTAGAGTTTGCAAAGCATTTACCAGTATCATCTCCTTTCATCCTCACAGCAATCCAAGATGTATGTCTATTATAACCCCCATTTTGCAGATAAGGAAACTGAGGCTGAGAATGTTTGAGTGACTTTCCCAGCATCACGAAGCTAAGGAAGTCCTTGAAGATGGCTTTGAACTCAGGTATTTTTGACATCGTCTAGCTCTCTATCAATACCTCTGCTGGCACAAGTGACACCAAAGTGCCTTTGAACCAGCTCTTTAAGGAAGTATACGGAGCACTTGCAAATGCCCTCCTGTCACCCCTTTCTGTAGGGTGGTCAGGCATCTCTTCTTTGAAGGACACGTGTGTATAACAGCAGGAGAGGCAATCAGCTGCTCTGGTTTCTCAACGATGCCTCTCCATGAAAAAGTTCTGCACAGCTGTGCCTTTTGGCCTTTGCCAATCCCTGCCTGGGGACAGTGACCCCCTATCAGTGCTCAGAAGGACAGATGGCAATGGGTGCCTGAGATCAGGTGCGCTCACGGCGTGGGTGGCAGGGGAATATAAGTGATGAAGGACCTTCCCACTACCCTATGCCTACTGAGGCCCCAGGGCTCTCACTAATGCCTGGCCAACATGGAGAGAGCAGTGGATTATCTCTGCAGATTATCTCCACTGAATCCTGTCCATACCTTCTTTGTTTATAGTTGTTTGCAGGCTGTCTCCTTCATTAGAGTGGGAGTGACCTAAGAGCAGAACCTAATTTTTGCCTTTTTTTGTTTTCCCATTGCTTACATATAGTAGGTGCTTAATAAGTGCTTATTGACTATTAGAAGGCCTAAGGAAGAATGTGTTCTGCATGGCCCCAAAAAGCAGACCAAAGAGAAATAGGTAGCGTTGACTTCAGGAAAGGTTTCCTCTAACAACTAGAGCTCTCCATGGGTGAAACAAAGGAGGATAGGGTTGTGGGACAGAGTAGGGCCTTCCCTCATGGGACGCTTTCAAGGAAAGGCTGATGAACACTTACTTCAGACTCGCTGAAGATGATTTCTGTTTCAGGTATGGATGGCCTACCTGACCTCCAGGGTCCCAACCAACTCCAAGAGTCTGAGAGTCTGTGAATGATCTGGGAATCTGTGAGGCCTCACTCCAAGCTTGCTGCTGACTCAGTTTCCATGTCTGAAACTGGGCTAGTGAATTTTGGTCAACCAAGATATGTTTGCTAATCCTAAGAAGAATCTGTTCCTCTACTAAACTACCCTGACCAAAAAAATCCCTTAGTTGTTAACTCAACAATAAACATGCATGCTTATTTGCATCTCATTTGCATGCTGTCAAATGTCAACATACACGGACATCCCACCTATTCTGTCCAGATAAAAACCCTCTCCCTTATCAACTTCTCCCTTCTTTCTTCCCCGTGCCAAGCAGCAGTTGAATGTGTATAACTGCTCTGGAGAAATGCCAGTTGGGCTCTGCCCACATGGTCCTCTTGCCACGGGACACAGACCCTTCTTAGAGTTTTTCAAATGGATTCTGAGTGGGTAGGAGTTCTAGAGTCAGAGGGCAGGTGTAGACTCTTTGTTACTTTAGTTTCCCTCTCTTCCCCCAACCTAGGCCCTGTGAGTCGTCAATGGAATTGCTGACCCTGAAATCTGGTTTGTAGCTGTGAAGGCCAAATGCTCTGGGCAAACTCCACTCAGTGAACCCCCCCCCCATCCTATGCTTGGTTCTTTCCACTTTGGAGCTTGGCATTTCCCTGCCTCTGTTCTTATCTCTAGCTGGAGTAGGAAGAACAACACTGGACCAGACACAGACCAGCCTTGTCCCTGGACTCTCTTCTTTGATTCTGATGAATCATTTCAAAGGCAGTGCTCCCCACTCTACGGTGCCTTCATATGCCACCAGGAACAGACAGGGAACAATTGTGCTCCCTTTGTCCCAAAGGGTTCCTATGACCTGGAGGGTAGGAGGCAACCCCAGCCTCATCTGTAAGAGATCATCCAATATAGAAACCCTCTCTATAGCATCAATTAATCAATAAGCATTCATTAAGTGTTAATGACATGCCAGTCACTGTGTGTATCACTGCTAGGTGGTCCTCCAGCCTTTCCTCGATCACCTCCAGAGGACAGGAGTCTGTATTCTGTGTTCCAAGATCTCCCAGTTCTGACATCCTGAGTTCTATGCTCTAAGCTGTCCTTAGACCTACTGAGTTTCTAAGTTCGATGTCCATGGTTTCCTCCATTTCTGACATTTTCCATTCCATGTTCTAAGGGCTTTCCATCTCTAAATGTTCAGCTTATACAGATCTATACTTTGATCTCACGGCCAGAAGAGTAGGGAATGATGTAGAAGGTGTTGTTATGGATGCAACTGACACTGATCTTGTGAAATATTCATTATTACCCAGTTCTTTAGTAGGGTCCAGGCCTAATTCTTCAGGCAGTTTACAGCACAGCCCAATGAGCAAGACTTTTCCTACGGATACATGCTGCAAAGAGAAATGCAGAAACACAAGGAAAGCTCCCCAGAACTACATTGCTCAGCCACACAGGGGTTCTCACATGGCTCTCCTGCTCCCCTAAGCTTTCAAAAAACCAACAGTTCAACCAACAGAGAACGATGGGCTGCTGGCCTGACACCAGACAAGACCAGCCCCTCTCTGTTCTTAGCTGCTGCCTGCAGGCAGGCAGCCTTTGAGCAGAAGAGAGGCTGGTGCCCTCTTTGAGTCTTCTAACAATAGATGCTGCCTTCCTGCCCTACAGACAAGCTCAACTGCCTTGCTTTCTTGATGTGGTCAATATCCAATAGGAATGAGACCTGTCAGTTACCCTCACCCTGGTTTAGCCCAACAGCTGAGATGATTTATTGGGATATGGTATGCTACAGTGTCTTGGAGCTCACAAGGCAATGTGACCAAAATGTTTCACGAAGAGACATTTCTGATTGCTTTTGGACATGGAAAAAAGCCAACTCATTTATTCATGTTTGCATTCATGAGGAGAATGTCTGAGCCATCTTTTCATATAGCTTTAACTTCTTTATCAAAAATTAGGTATTTATTAAGAGCTTACTATGGGTCAGGCATTGTGCAAGGAACCAGGGATACAAAGATTAAATAGTCCCTTCCCAAGAAACTTACACTTTTTTTGTCTTCTGGTTTTCTTTAGCCTAAGAATGTCAATTCAGAGATTCACTGGATTGGGGAACAGAAATGGTACTTTTAGAGCATCAAATGGCTAAGTTAATGTTTGCAGGGGGTCTAAGAACTCTGTGATTCTTAAGATCTTCTTCTTCCTGTGCCACCACTCAATAACCATCTCCATGGAAGAAGTCCACACTGAACTAAAGACTGTTTTGTATTTTTATCTAATCCACAATTTTCTATGACCCAAAAATTCATTGTCCAGGGGCTGTCCTCCTGGATACTGACAAGAATGGCACAAGTCAAGAAGGCCCAGAGGGCAACAATGGAAAAAGAGCCCCCCCAAAGGAAACCATGAATCCACCAAGAACCAGGAGCAAATGGTCTTGGACCGGATGAACTTATCCTAAGTTGAACTCCAATCATCATCAGGCTCTCAAGTGCCAGATGATGGAAAGCCAGGGGCCTAAAGACTGATGGTGCATCCCAGGTACCGTCTGAAACCTCTAGACCGTGTCCTCCAGCTTAGCTGTGTGCTCTTTCCCCATCATTAGCTTTGCTGCCAGCCAAGGGGCAGGCAATCTATTGGGGTGAGGAGGGAAATTGCTAGACGCCCCTTTCCAGGATGTCAGCAAACAACTGAGTCTGAATAAGAGATGAACTCTAATGTAAGGGTCTGGAGACAGAGACAAGGTTTTCGGAAACAGGTCTGCTCAGGTGCCAATGGCAGTAAAATGGTTTTTCCCATGGTTTCACTTCTAAAAGTTTAAAAAGCAGATAATCATCTGCAATCATACCACTCCCCTCAAAGACCTACCCTAAGATCCTGGCTTATTGGAGGTGGCACATTCTGGTGGAAAGAACCTTGGATTTGGAGTTAGAGGGCATAGATTTGAATCCGAGCCCTGGCTGCGACCTTAGATAAGTCCTCTCAACAATCCATCTTATTTCCCTCATCTGTACAATGGAGACAATAAAGGCTTTTTAAATTTAATTTTGTATAGATGGGAGGGTAGGGAAAAAGATCAGTCAATATTGATGTTTCCTCAATCATTTTTTTTCAATATTTATAAAGTTGGAGATTTTTTTCCCACAACTTCCTCCCTTTGGATAACTTGTAAACTGCTCCCACCATTGTATTACCTCCAGCACAGACTACCTTTATATATTCTTGGTCCAATGCAGCTGCTTTTCCTGTCTTTGTTCTCTTTAGTGACATTTCTACCTCTTCTATAAGCACA